AATATTTGTTTACTGAATGAATAAACAATGAAATGAATAAACAATAAAATGAATAAACCAAGTATGGGAATCAGTTACCTTCAAAAATAAAGAGCAGAGCTGGTGGATGGCTCAAGTGATAGAACACCTGCCTAACAAACCTAGCAAGAGTGAGGCCCTGAGTTCAAGACCCAGAACCGCCAAAAAACAAAAACAAGAAACAAAGTAATAAAAGGTTTGGCTGAGTGCATGTCTCAAGAGGTAGAATGCTTGCCTAGAAAGCACAAGGCCCTGAGTTCAATCCCCAGTACCATCAAAAACAAAGCAAAACAAATACATTTGCTGGTGGAGTGGCTCACATGGGAGAGCACCGCCTTGCAAATGAGAGGCTCTGACTTCAAACCCCAGTATTTAAAAAAAAACTTAAAAAAATGAAGTGCAGCTGCATCTAAAAGTTCCAGTTGGCTTATCCTTGTTCTTTGAAATGCCAGGGCTTATTCTTATCAAGTTTAGTATTATATTTGCTCTGGTCATTTATTTATTTGTCATGATGGAACTTCTGTTACACACACACACACACACACACACGCACGCACACACACACACGCACGCACACACACACGCACGCACACACACACGCACGCACACACACACGTGCACACACACACACGTGCACACACACACACACGCACACACACACACGTGCACACACACACACACACACACACACACACACACTGAGTACTGGGGATTGAACTTAGGCAAGTGCTCTATTACTTGAGCCACACCCCTAGTCCTTGTTGCTTTAGTTTGTTTTTCAGATAGGGTCTTATGCTTTTGCCTGGGCTGGCCTCAGACTGCAATCCTCCTATCTCTATTTCAGGAGATATTTTCAGGCATATTTTCAGGCTGGTAAGCATGCAAATAAAAAAATCTTCAGAAATAAAAAGTTTGCAGTTCTCATCAGACATTCAGAGAGTGCATCTGGGGTGACCAAGGCTGATCATCCAGGAGAAAAGGGTCTGTAAATCCATGTACTGCAGTGCTCTCCCCCTTGCCTACACATCAAAACCACCTAGGGAAGAGCCTGATTTCATTGGTCTGAAAGGGGACCTGGGTGCCAACATTTTTAAAAAGCTCTCAGGTGACTATCATGTGTAACCATCATGCAGAGTGCCACTAGCCCACTATGCCATGGCAATATCACTTTTTACCATGGAGTGGATAAAAGGAACAAAGATGATTCAGAAGGGTGAGAAAGTCTTCGGCAGCTGAAGTGAGTCCAAACTGGAGGAAGAAGACAGTTTCCCCCTTAACACTCCCTTACTTGTCCCCTGGCTCCTGGCTCCAGCATCTCTAATCACTGTTGGAAGACCCAGAACACTTGGCTCATTGGGGAAAGAGATAGGAAATGACCATAGACACACTCTGGCCTAGTTTCACCCATACCCCATAGCCTCCCCCAAAAGGTGACAAAGTGATGTAGTTTGGTTACACATCTGTAAGGCTCTTCATAGTCAGTGGTCAAAAGGAAGAAAAAGAAAACTATACTCTTTTCAGCATCAGCAGCAAGGAAGGGATCAATCTTCTCCCTCTATCTCAGACAGGAAGAGAAAGTTAGCTGGTTCCCAGAGGGAAGCCTGGGGTTGGGGACACCTACCACTGTGCTGGAGGGGAAGTGTAAGAGGCTCCCAGGAGCTACGTCATGCTCTGCTAGTGTGTTCTTACCAGGCCAGAGAAAAGTCATCAAAAAAGGGGGAAATTGGGCTGGGGGTACAGCTCAATAATAGATCACTTACCAGGGAAACCCTGGGTTTGATCCCCAGCATTGAAAAAAGGGGGTGAGTGGGTAGGGGAATTGTCCACTTCACCTTGGGCTTCTGGGCTGCTGGAAGTGATCAGGGTAGCGTCTGTAACCGACATCTATGTGGATGCCTGCAGGAATTGTGCACCGATGGGTATGTGTGTTTCTAGGGAAGGAGTTTTATTTTATTTTGTTGTATTTTATCAGTTTCCCAAAGGTTAAGGATGATAACTGGTCCCAAGCAATGTCCACACTGAGCTGAACAAAATTTGTCACCCACAAACTGCCCCATCAGATTTGTCCAACTGAAGATAGCAGGGCTGGGCTCAGTGAATTGCAGAAGTGGCTGGCATGCATCCTTTGTGCTTAGCCTCTGTCTGCCCAGAGTTCCCACTCAGAGGAGCAGCTTCCCCATACTCAGATGGCACAAGCACAGCTAACTGTCACCAGCTTTGTCCCACATTCCAGCTTGGGTTTTCCTTTCCTCTGCAAGTACAGGGGTTGTCTTTTTTCCCTTGCATCTCTGTTCTTCCCTTCTGCCCTTGTGCTCCCATGCTTGAATCCATTTTCCCCAGTCTCTACCCAGGTCCACTGCCTTAGCCTTGACCCCCAAAGCTCGAAGTTCATAGTATCAGTCTTGAGAGGCCCTCTCCAGTCTCCTGGTTACCACCCTGACTTGTTACCCACAGTGTTCCAGGATGCTCTTCCAAGATCTCGGACAAAGGGGCAGTGCCAGCTCAGCTTTTCCTTCCTGGGAACAGAGTCCAGGCCTTATCTACTAATACATGCTCTGGAAAGGCCACGAGGAAGCTACATTGTTATGGAGAAAACCATTAGCTGTGACTTTGTCTATCAATGCTACACTATAACAAAAATAAGAAAAAACTTCCAGAGTTTTAGCTATGTGGTAGGGGTGAGGGAGGAAGAAATCTTAATTACTCTCACTTATATAAGTTGCTAACTATACGTGCCTAATGTCCACAGGGCACAGTCATGGTGTATGGATCACTAAGTGGATAAGTTGTCTTTCATTTCAAAGATGAACTCTATTCATGTATGTTTAGCCTTGAAAGTTTACTGATCGGATGTCTGCTTTCAATTTAGGGGGAGAAATCATCAGAAGAGAATGTTGGCTTAGACATGGAAGTCAAGGAGAGGTAAGAAGCCTAGCAGGTAAGGGCCTGCTGGCATCCTTCACAGTTAACTGTACGACCTTAGGTAGGTCCAATTTCCTGCTTTGGACTTCCTTCTTTTCCTCCTTCCCCGGGTGAGAAGCACTGTGTACTGACTGGCATTCTATATATTTTTGTTTGTTTGTTTTGGTGCTGAAGATCAAACCTAGGGCCTGTGCATACTAGGCAAGTGCTCTACCTCTGAGGTGCATCCCCAGCTCAATAGGCTTTAAATTTTTTTCTTACAGTACTGGGGATTAACCCCAAGGCATTGCACATGCTAGGCAATCACTCTACCACTTGAGACAAGCCCCATGCCCCACTTTTTTCTTAAGCAGCAGTTCCCTTTTTTTTTTTTTTGAAAGGAAGCATGCAAAAATCCAGATCTAAAGCCGGTCAAAGAAGAGCTGCCTCAGGGTGCATCTGAGGTGTCTAACAGAACCCTAGGGTTCTGGCTTATTCTGTGATTCATGACTGCATAAAGGGGAGGGGCTCGCAAGCCCCCTTATGCAACTCTCACCATTTTGGAGAGAGGGCCCAGGCAGCATCCTAGTGGACCTGAGGGTTAACCTGAAGGCCCCTGCAAAAACGGCTAGAGAGAAACATATCATTCCAAACTTCCCACCATAGTGGTTAAGGTGTATACTTGGAGTTTCCCTCATGTTCAAAATAGCTCAATTCAAGTGATTTTATTTCAAATCGACCTCTCCAGATTGTTGGTAAGGAATTCAATGAATTGACTCCAGTTGTGCGTCAATTTCAAAGAGGCAGTTTTGAAACCTGTGGTTGCCCAAGCTCTAAAATACTAAGCCATTTGTCCTAATGACACAGCAGACTCTGAACTCTAGAATACCACAGGAATATCACACCACTGCAAATTACTAGGGGTGCTGAGTCTTCAAAAAATGGGAAGTGAAACAAAAGCACTGCACTGTTTTTGAGATGCACATTTGATATGGGCGAATCGAATAGTTTTTTAGATTATTTTCCCAGAGGCAGAGTTATTCTGCACAGTTACACAGCCTGTAAGTTTTCCCTTTGTTGTATCTAGCTATGTATAAACACACAGCCCATGCAGTGGGCTACTTTCTCTCTCCCTGAAGCTTCCAAAGACAAGGCCTTTTTTGTCATGGGTAAGTGCAGGGCCAGTCAGCTTTACAAAAGGAGTCATTTAATGCTCAATTTTCCCAACTTTCCTATGATTAAAAACTTCTAACCTCAAACGCTGTTATTGTATTCTAGATTGTTTTCTTTCCCCCTCCCCCAACAAATGTTTAAATTGTCTCTACCCTGTTGGGTCCCTTTTTTTCTTTTTTCAAGCTGACCTTGAAAACTGAGACACTCTCCTTTTCTCTTATGTATCCTAAACTATTTTAAAACCTACGCCCTCTGACCTTTTTACGACACACTTTTTGCCTGACATACCAAAAGCTAATCGGAAAGCCAAGAGGAGGTAAAGGGTCGGGGGTTGGGGGCAGGGTGTGGGGGGTACTATATATTTGGCATCAGCTCAGAAATTCAGAAAATGTTTGTGCAACCACTCCCCCAGCCAAGATCCCCACCCCCACTCCCTGACTTCTACCACATTAATAAAAAAGGATAGGAGCGGATGAAACTGGAGAGCCTAGGAGAGACAACTAAGACAGTCACAATTGTGCACACAAGAAAGCCCACTGGTAACCGATCCACATGTTACCCTCATCCCTCCCTTCGAACATCCAAAGTTTAGGATCAGGACCTCTCGGGCTCCCACCCCGACCTCCAGAAATGGTCAGTTAAACTTGCGGCAGCACCGCCCATTAACCCCTAGTGTGAGACCCATGGTAGGACTCAGCCTCTCTGCACGTCGGGGTGGCACCGCTGCGCACCGTAAGAACCATGCATTTTCTTTAAAAAGAAGAAAAAAAAAAAAGTAGTGAGCGCACAAGCCTGGAATACATTAACTTGTGAACCGAATCCAACACACCCCAAGAGAATCCACCGCTGTCTCAAACAAAAAGGAGGGGTGTGTGTGTGTGAGGGGGGTGGGGAGGAAGGCACATTACCATCCTGTCCTGAACTTTCCAGATACTCCGTCAGGTCACAGCCGAACGCACTGGTGGCTCCCTTTCGTTTCAACTTCTGCTTGGCACCCTTGTTCTTCATGAGTTAGTCCCGAAGAGGCTGCCCCTCCGTGTCCCCCTCCCTTTGCTTGGCACCGCGCGTACGATGGTGTCCGGGTTAGATCGCCGGCTGCCGCGCGGCGCCGGGGGTCGGCATGAGCCAGCAGGACACTCGGGCGCGGGCGCAGCGCACGGACCCCGCGGGGCGGCCAGCCGGGTGCGCGCGCGAGCGGGGGCCGGGGCGCGGCGGGAGGCGCGGCCGAGCCAGCAGAGCCTGAAATCCACTCCGCGCGCCTCCAGGGCCGCCGCGCCCGAGGGAGGGAGGGAGGCAGGGAGCGAGAGAGGCCGCGCAGAGCTGGCAGCGGCGGGCCGGCTCGTCTGGGAGTGTCACTTCCTCAGTTCGGAGTCCCAGGGACTTTCACAGGCTCCGGCGGTGTCCTCGGGAGCTCTCCTTCCTCTGTTCCTTCCGAGGTGCGCGGGCGCGGGCGGCAACGGCGAGGGGGCGAGGGGGCGAGGGGACAGCCCCGGGGGCTGCAGTGGGTCCTCCGCCCTGGGCCCGCTGTCCTGCCTTCAGACGGCTTCGCTGAAGCGCAAAGCAAGCATCCTGTCTCCTTTGCCCGCCCTCACGCCTTCCCTTTTTTCCTGTCTTACAAATCCTAGGATCATCCAGCTCAGGAAGCGCTGGAAGGAAGTTAGCTAGGGAGGGGGGCGGAGGGTGGAAATTTTTGGCAGCTCAGAGCTGCTGTGTGTGGAGCCGGAGGAAGTAGGTGGGTGGGTTGAGGAGTGAGGGTGGGGGTGAGGACAGCGCTCTCTCTCGCGCGCGCTCTCTCTCTCTCTCTCTCCCAAGGCCGGGCTGCCACTCTCCAGAGCGCTCGCTCTCTCGCTCGCTCCGGGCCTCCCTGGAGGAAATCGCCGCTCCCCCAGGGGGACCCCGCGGCCCAGCGCCCGCTTCCTGCCCAGCCACCCTGCTCTTTGAAGCGGACGGGAGGTGTCCCGCGCACTGCGCTTAGGGCGCAGGGACGCTGCTCGGTCGAAGTTCTGCCTCGGTGTTATCCTCCTTGTCATCCCATCCCTGACACTTGCTATTTCCGTGCCTGCCTTTCTCTTCAGAGTAGTGGCAGAAAGAAAAAAAAAAAAAAAAAAGCAGAGAAACCAGACAGGCAATGGGTTCACACTGGCCATCCCCACAGGTCCTTGCCAGGGTCCATGTGCCCCAAGTCTCCCACGCAGGTTACCTTTGGGCTAAAGAAGCCGCAGCTGCAGCTTTGAAACCACTGCCATAAAGTCCGATTTCTGATTAGAGATTCAAGTTCACACACACACACACACACACACACACTATTACAAAGACGCTCAATAGAAGTGATTGTAGGGGAAGGACCCAGGCGTTAAAGGTCTCTGATATTCTAATATTTTAGCATAATATAGAGACCACTATCTCCCAGGTTGTTTGACAGTTTGTGTCAAGTTGCTTCAGGAGGACAAGTTTTTCCTTCAGTTAAGATTTGAACTTCCTTGACTTCTGTGCACTCAGTTTACAGCAAGCACTCAAATTCTTGTGATTTAACAGTCTGAGGATTAGTTTAAACTTCCTGTATAAATTAAAATCCATACATAGGTTTGAAGGGCAGCAACATCCATACACCCAGATTACTAGCAAAAGCTTTAAGTGTGGTTATTTTAGTTACTAAATCCCTTTACAATCACTTACGTATCACCATGACACTATGAACTTTGACTCCTGACCTTTTCTCTATATCAAGTCACAGCCTGATAGCCAGCCTACCAAATCTGGCCCACAGATGTCTTTGGTTTGGCACATACTATGCTTTTTTTTTTTTTTTTCCTGCCTGACATTAAAGAATTAGGATATTTTTATATGAGAGATGGATTTGTTTTCTCTTTGCAAAAACAGAAGCTCTGGTTATACCACAAATGTATTCCCATGTGGCAAAGCACACTGATGCCAATGCCGCTGCCCCTTTGGCAACACCCTCTTTAGAGAGATGAACCTCCCACTTTGAGGCCCCACTGTCTGCCTTTCCCCCTTTGCACCTGCCTGGCCTCTGTAGCCACTTGGTTTGTACCCCAAACTCTGTATTTGGGCTCTCCTTCCTTCCATCTTTCCATCTGTCTCCCACTGACATCAGCATCACCCGGTCATCAAGTCTTCAAGTAGCCACTGACTCATTTCTCTCCTTCCACCATCACTGCCAACCTAGCCCCGCCCAGAGTGAGGAGTCCTTTAAAAGGCCTCTCTAAGGGGGGTTCTTCTTCATCAGGCCCACTCAGTGAAGATCATCTGCTCCTTCATTATTGGAATAATTCAGTGGGCTTTGCAGAGTTGGCTCCTCCCACTTCCTCCTCCTGTGTGCTGGAGGCCTGGCCAATCTCCCTGAAGTATTGCCTTGGTACATGTTTCCTTGTTCAAATCTGTCAGTGACTCCCTGTTTCCTACTGCTAGGGTAGCAATTTCTGAGCATTTTGTCAACTACTTGGAGAATATCCGTCAGGATATTTAATATAATGACTTCTCTTTTTATTTATAGAGAAGTATTTCCATATGGAACTATAATTATCACTATTAACATTTGTTTAGGAGTTTACTTCAGCAAGGACTTTCATATTCTCATTTTTCTCTTTGACCTTGCTTACTGAAGATATTTTTTAATGAGTGTGTGAAGGAAAATCACATTTGGATTGCAAAGGGTTTTAGCATTGAACTGTGGATTACCTAGGATGCAAACTTATATGAATGTAATATAGGCATGGTAACTTAAGAAATATATAAGATCTTTCATGATAATATAAATTATTTCTGTTGCAAATTTATTAGAAAAGAGCTTTGCTCACAGGGACATACCACCAAAGAGTTCTGTGACTGCTTAAAATCCCTCTTATCTCCATCTGTTGAGGACTGGTGCCTATCAAAGTGTACCACCTTCTTCATCACCAAGAATGGCAGGCATCTTCTCTGCCATAAATAAATAGAGAAGACCGAGCGGGGATTGGGAGACTTTGGGGTCACCTGTGATTACAAGCTTTTCTTTTACCCAGTTTCTCCATAAAACTAGATTTAGCTGTCAGCAACTTCAGCATTCTCCCTAGCAAGTAGCTAGCTAATTGCTCTTATGTGACTCTTTGTCCATGGGCTGTGAATTTTGTGTTCTGGGATCCCAGAGTATTAGCTTGTTTTGTTACCAGATTCATTTATTTCCCCACTTCTCCATTCTCCCTCCACCTCCAGCTACCCCTATTTTAAAGGAATGTGTGGTATCTAGAGCCAAGATCAGTTGTGGGGAAAGCATTTCTATGAGAGAGGCCTAGTGCCTCACCTCAGCCCAGCCACCCATACCCTCAGGCTCTGAACCACTAGAGATGAGGGTGACCACAGCAAAAGGGCTTCTACGAAGTTGTGTCTCTCAGGCTCCTGTGCTCAGGTTCCTAGGTTTATGTCATTTGCAAACTGCTGCTTCTCAAAGTCCAAAGGAGGCTGAATAAGCTTCCTCAGTAGGGCGGGGATGTGGAGGACCATAAAATCCCTAAGTGAGCAGAACCCAATGGAGAAGTCAACTTGAAGGAATGAGAACCCGAATCAGTGCCCTGTCCTCACAGCTGGCCTCCTATTGCTCTGCTCTCTGTAACTGTGAGAGCCAGAGCTGCTTCCAAGGTCAACAATAGAGAGAGGAAGGGGGCTATAAATGGTCACACCCAGCTTAAATGTTGAAGATCAGACCTAGGCATTCTTATAATGCTCTCTCTCTCTCTCTCTCTCCTCTCTCTCATTATATATTTTACTTCCCTTTCAGTGCCTGAAATTGCAAAGCTGTATTAGGACAAAAAAAATTACACACACACACACACACACACACACACACACACACACACACACACCTGCTCTACACCCTCACTTCCCTGGCTGAGAAAGTAATTCAGTTTCTTTGTCAGCCACTAATAATTTGGAGTAGAAAGGGTGGAGGGTAAGGGAATAGTTAGAAAGAAAGTACTAGGTTACAAAGGAAGTCTTATTTTTTAAATAACGAGCATAAATTGATCGATCCCTACCTCCTAATGCAGAGCCTCAGCCTTTGATTTCAAAGACTGGACATTGGAGAGAATAGAGTCAAGAGGATTCTAGGTTTTATAAGACTAGAGGCCAGTAAGTGTAAAAAGTATTTTTTGGAGAAAGATGAAACATACTTCTCTACACATCAAAGGACATACCAGAACTTTCAGGAGGAAATGTTCTTTTTAAAAAAATTTTTTGGCAGTATTAGGGTTTGAATTCAGTGTCTCACACTTGCTAGGCAGGCATTCTATGGTTTGAGCCATGCCCCCAACTCTTTTGGTTTTAGTTTTTCAGGTAGGGTGAGGATGTGTGTGTGTGTGTGTGTGTGTTGTTATTGTTTTTTGTTTGGTTGGTTGGTTTGGCTGGTAGCTAGCCTTGGACTGCAACCTTTCTTCTGACCTACATCTCCTGTATATTTGAGACCACAGGTACATATCTCCATGCCTGGCTTTTTGGTTGAGAGAGGGTCTCACTTTTTACCTGAGCTGGTTTCAAACCACAATCCTCCTAATCTCCACCTCCCATGTAGTCATAATGTTACATGTGAGCCACCAAGCTCTCCTAGGAAATTTTCTTTGACAGTATAACATGCAAGACTGAGTAGAAGCTGGCAGGTTAAGATGAGAGATGACGTAAGGCATTTATACATAGTATTTGAAATTATTTGAGAAATAAGATTTTTCCTACAATTTTTAGTTAGACTCTAATTTCTTTGTGTTGCCTATTGTATTGTTAAAAAATAAGAGGTCTGGAGCTCTTTTGTGTTCTACTGAATATTTAAAAAAAGCCATAATACATACACACGGTTGGGACATTTAATAGCTCTTTAGTAGTTCAGGGCCAATGATTGAACCAGAAGCACAAGACCCCCGGTTCCACTCGGCCGCAGGCATGGATGCTGCCAGCAGCAGTAGGACATTTTCTTCCTGGAGTCACATGCGGAGAGAGACTTCACAACGCCAGAGGAGAAGCCATGTGCCCCAGGTTCAGTCACTATTATGCCCACCTCTGAACCTGCTCAGGCTCTAGCTTCAGGCTAAGTCCGACTTTGGAACCATTTGGTGTTAAGGCCTGTGTTCAGTGGGTCTGAGGGCCAGATGTAGGGGTTTTCCCATAGCTGGGCTGTTCCCATAGGCAGCAGTCACAGAAGCCTGGCAGGGTCTGTCCTGAGGATCTGGCAATAGGTTCTCCAGTCCTGAGCAGCTAGGTTTGAGATGATTTCTCTTGCTCTCTGGGTTAGATTGCTGGAGTTCCCAAAGTAGACAGACTCTTTGGGTAGAAAAGCCTTCATCCCTCACAGAAAATGGGAGTCCTCAGGATAGAGAGTGACTCGCCCATTTGACTTATCTCCACGATTCTGGTTTGGTTTTGTTACTTTGTTCTACCTCTGCTTCTTCTCTAC